AGCCTGTTAGTGTCTCTCGCACCCGCCCACGGCACACCCGCCCACAAGGTCATCACAATCCACCCCCCTTTGAGGCCAGCATCCCCATCTCCAATTGGTATGAGGCCTTTTGGGGTGAAACCCTAAAGCAAAACCATGTGGGCTTTGTAACGACCCACTCCACCACATGGTATGATATTGTCCGCTTTGGGCCTGAACCGGCACGGTTTTGCTCTAGGACTTCACCCCAAAAGGCCTCATACCAATTGGAGATGATGCACTTACATATAAGCACTTCAACTTTCCTCTACCCAGGCGATGTGGACTTGTGCACCCGTAGCTCACCAGTGTGGTAGCCTGTCAGTGTCTCTCGCACCCGCCCACGGCACACCCGCCCACAAGGTCATCACAATCCGCCCCCCTTAGAGGCTCGACGTCCCAGTCGGCACACTTCCGGCTGGGTCAGGCTCTGATACCAACTGTAACGGGTGGGCGCTTACCCATTTACCCAAAAGCTTGAACTATTGGGTAGTACTGCATACCCACCCATTTATACCCAATCACTTTCCTATCCGATTCCGATGTGGGACAAATGACCCTTGTTACATTCTCCCCCACCCAAACTCGCAACGCCCTTGTTGTGATTCGGGCCACCCTGCCTACCCGGGATGCTTACCTGGACGCCTTCCAGGCAGGGCGCTTTGGCATGACACAGGATCAAGGACTGGGTCTGACTCTGATACCATTTGTAACAACCCACTCCATTTTGATGACCTTGTGGGCAGGTCCGAGAGACACTGTCAGGCTACCACACTGGCGAGCTACGGGTGCATAATCCCACATTGCCTGGGTAGAGGAAAGATGAAGTGCTTATATGTAAGTGTATCATCTCCAATTTGTAAGAGGCCTTTTGGGGTAAAGCCTTAGAGCAAAATCGTGCGGGCTTAGGCCCAAAATGGATAATATCATACCATGTGATGGAGTGGGTCGTTACAAATGGTATCAGAGCCTGACCCAGCCGGAAGTGTGTCGACGAGGACGTCGGGCCTCCAAGGGGGGTGGATTGTGATGACCTTGTAGGCGGGTGTGCCGTGGGTGGGTGCGAGAGAACACTGTCAGGCTACTACACTGGCAAGCTACGGGTGCACAATCCCACATCGCATGGGTAGAGGAAAGATGAAGTGCTTATATGTAAGTGTGTCATCTCCAATTGGTAAGAGGCCTTTTGGGGTAAAGCCCAAGAGCAAAATCGTGCTGGCTCAGGCCCAAGGCGGACAATATCATACCATATGGTGGAGTGGGTCATTACAGTGATGAGAAACCGAACGCAGAAAAGAAATTTCAACGACAAAAAAAAAAAAATTATCCGTAAAATATGAGGAAAAAAGAAATAAAGGAAATGACTAGGTCATTACAGTCCTAATCTTTCCACTACTTGATTTCGCATTCAATTTCAAGTTATTAATCATTGATTACTTGTAAATTGTAATTTGGTGTGTGCAATTTCAATTTCATTTAGTATACTTGCGCTTTGTATACTTGTTTCTTGTATTTAAACCTCATATAGTATACTTGTACTTGTATACTTGCTTTACGTGTATTCAAATTTCATTTAGTATACTTGCACTTTGTATACTTGCTTCATGTATTTAAATCTCATATAGTATATTTATACTTTATATACTTGCTTCGTGTGTATTTAAATTCCATTTAGTGTACTTATACCTTGTATGCTCACTTTATGTGTTTTTCAACTCCGTTTAGTATACTTGTACCTTATATACTTGTTTCGGTATATTTAAAATTTCATTTAGTATGCTTATACCTAGTATGCTTACATGTTGCATATTTCATTTTCAATTGCATGAATATTGTGGTTTATGCTAAAAATACTTTAAGGTAGCTTAGGATGCTCCTTGAGTCTCACCTTAGACATTAACGTTAGGTGGCATGAACCACATGAATTGATTTAAATCAATCTAATAAACTTGTAAAACATTAGGTCATTTGTATGTTCATCTTCCTACGAGTAACTTTGGTTGCTCACCTTCGTTGTTGGGATATTTTTCAGGTACAGAGATCATGTTTTGGGATACACAATATCCCTTGGTTATCTTGTAAATTTGAAATACTTCATTCATGCACTTGTTAGCATGAAAAGCCTTGTTTTTGGTTTTATATGTCAAAACATGAATATTCAGTTTTAATTATCTAACATCCACATAAGTGTACCTTTTAGAATATATTTGACATGTATGTAATGTGGCCAAGGGCCGTTTACTTTTAAGTTGCTTCTTTTAAGTATATTAAGTTTCATGTTTAATTATTGAAAAATAAGAAAATATGAAGTTTTAAGTTGTCATTTTCAATTTGGATGGTGCAAAGTGTGCCCAAGCACACTCATTAGGACTCTTTTAATATATTTGAGGTGTGGCCAAGGGCCAAATGCCTTTTCGTTTGCATCTATGCATTTTGGTTTCAAAATTTGTTTTTAAAAGTCATTTTAGGCAAATTTTAGGTTTGATAGGTCGTATTTTGCATCAAGCATATTTGGGGGTCACGAACCATTCCCGCATATCTTAAAACACTAATTACGTTTGCATGCACAATCGTTTTAGTACACAGCTTCATATTTGGTCAAATAAACACTTGAAGCAATTCCATTTTTTAGGTTTTTTGTCAAAACTGAGCAAAAGGGTATTTTGGGGATTTCACATCAGAATTAAAATTTTCTTTTGACATGGTCAGCTTGAAAACATGATTTTAAGGGGGTTTCTTCTTTGTGTTTTTCCAAAAAAAATCATTTAAGGGTCCAAAAAGTACACTGTTCTAGAAAAATTAGCAAAATCAGCTGCTCTCAGCCAAGCCTTGGCCGCGTGTACAGGGGCGCATGCGTGATGCACTCGGTGGCGCGCATGGGCACCTACGTGTGCATGGGGGCTTGCTCCCTTGGTCGTTTCAACCAAAAATTTGTTTTTGCTTGTTCTTCTTCATCTGGGCTCCAAGTCATGTGATTTTTGAATCTAACTTCGTTAATTTTTTGTTATCTATCCAATGGTGTACTCGGTAGCACCCAAATCTTTCTGAAAATTACCATTTTACCCCTAGGGCTAAACTTGTCCGTTTTTAAAATATCGCTTCCGCTTTGTTTGTAGCTTCATGGGAAGTCATTATTGTGTCTTAGGAATGACGTACCTCTCTTGAGACTTTTTTTTCAGTGTGAAAAGACCATTTTGCCCTTAGGAGCATAATTGGTCTATTTTTGAACTTTTTTTCTGCATTCGTTCTCGTTGAGTTTCGTAACCTCATGAAAGGTCACTTTGGCGTCTTAGAGGTGTGTTGTACTTCTAGAGACTTGTTTTCTGTTTTCTGCTTCCGCATTTGGGATCCGTTATCGGGTCAAACTTCGGGTCATTGCAAGACGCACTGGCTTGAAAAACCAGGGCCGTCACACAACGCAAAGCCAGAGGATTGTCAGCAATTGGTGCTTGGTAGAACGATAGGGTGTGAGCCAGAGTCAAAGTTCAGTGTACATTGTTTCAAACATAGTGAATTGGTTTACTTTGGACTACAAAGTCTATGAGGTTTTTTCCATGCAAACAATTGATATATTTTATCAACTGGGGTTTCCTCGCTAAAAATCCTCGTGCAATCATTCTAACCTTACTTGCTTTACTTTTTTAATATTTATGATTGTGGATGATTAATTGATCAGATAATTTAATCAATCATAAATTAAGCAAGTTGACCTAATAATCAGATCTAGGTCATTAAAGAAGTTAATCACAATTAAAATAAACTAATAGTTTCTGCACCCTGCGTTAACACTGTTTTCCCATTGGAGCGTTATTTACCACAGAGGCAAAGTATGTGGCGATGACAGAAGCCAACATGTAAATGATTTGGTTACAAGGTTTGTTGATGGAGTTGGGATTCAAACCAGTGAAGAATGTTTTGGACAGTGATAGTCAGATTGTGATATATCTGGCGAAGAATTCAACATTTCATTAAAGAATCAAGCATATAGGACTTCGGTATCGATCACTCCATCAGATCCTTGTTGGAAGATGGAGTGTTGACACTTGAGAAAATATTTAGCACTGAGAATCTGACTAAAATGTTGACCAAAACAGTGCTCGTGGAGACACTAGAGTTGTGCACAGCTTCAGTCGATTTTCTAGCTTGAAGAGAGAGGTAAGTGTATTGACATGCATTGGACATGCATGAGAAGAAGATGGAAGATGAATGTGTTGATTACGGGTACTTTGGATCGATAAAAAGAGAGATTCATTTAGTATCGGTAAAATTGATAGATTCATTTGGTAAAATGGAGAGATTCATCATCTCTCACTATAATTATTTTCTTTATTCACTCAATAGCGTTAAATTGTGAATATTCTTTGTTGAGCATTCATAAATTGTGAATATTCTTTGTTGCATCTCTCTCTCATTATTTGTGGTTTGCCTCTTTGTTTCTTTTTATTTTTATTTTCTTGATTAAAAAACCAAGATTGACAATTTATAGACTGAAGCCGGATGGGAATGGGGTTGGAGAAATTTTTTTTTGATTTTTTTCTTGACAAGAAGGAGCAAGAGAAATTAAACGGGTTTGAAAAGGGTTTAGGCATCCCTTTTCAAAGTCTTGAATAGGAGGACGCATCTTATGTTCACGTATATCACGACTTGTCAGATATATTGGGCCATCTGAAATTTCCCCATTCTCTCCTCCTATCGAGATACGTTTTATTAAACAGGTTTTGAGAGAGAATAGGGGTGCTCAACTAAATGTAAACGGGGATGGGAGCCACCCCCCACCCCCCCCCCCCCCCCCCCCCCCACACACACACACATTCTTAGTTAATACAACAGTAAATTCATCATTGAATCTAGCCAAGAAACCCACCACAAATAATTAATAACCAAATCCAGTACATGAGGTTTGAGCAACTTTTATATATTGGCAAAAGTCATTTTCCCTCCCAATATAGCCTACATGTGGTAGGGTTGTTGGGTCTATGTTTCACAAATTACCTGGGGTTTTTTTTTTTTTTTTTTCCTATTGGAAACTAAAGGTGAATAATTCTAACATATATAATAAACAACAGGACTACTAAGAAAACAGCTTGTAGGTTTTGGCAGACATGATGATTGAGCGTGCTCCTCCAATAGGTCCAAGGATTGTTATCACAACGCCAACGATGATGGAAATCTGTAAACAAACAAAAAGTATGATATATATTAGTTTAATTCATTCAAGAATGTTATATTAGAAGTTAGTGGAAGTAAATGTTCAAAGCTAGACTACAAAAGCGTTCAGATTTATTAGTTTAATCGAAGACATCAATTATTATGATTATTATTATTATTATTATTATGTTTGAGCAATGGCCTTGGCAAAGGGGCAACTAGTTTGCTTTATTGAGAAAAAAATAGAAAAACTAAAAAATTGAAGGCCACAATAATATGATACACAAGTCATCCATGCTCAACTTGTGAATTTGTATGTAGCTGACAATCCTATATATAAATATATAATGAATGTATATCATACATACCCACGATGCAGTCCAATGAAAGCTCCACCTCTTAGGTTTATAAAGGATGAGCCACATAATGCAAGGGATCTGTTTTAAGTGTACATATTAATCGTGTCAGTGGTTAAAAATTACTACTAAAAATAAGCAAGGTTTAGCAGTGTAGAATTTACAAAATAAGAGGTTGACGAGAATGCTAGTCCTCCAAAAAACCCTAGCAATCCTCCGAAAAATGGAAGGCAAATTCCGACGAAGGCAGTGAGAACTGTCACAAAATTGCAGTGAGATACATATTAGTTGATAAAAAAAAAATAATAGAAGGTGACTTTATTGCATGATCTTTCTAATTCTGAATGTGAACAGTAACTTTTTTCCTTGAAGTAATTGTATTATTAAAATTTGCCACACATGCCATGACAATGCAGATTAGTACGTTAACTAGTTCATGATTCAAATGCAAGCTTTCCTTACCAACATATGTACTACGTCCAATCAGGCGAAGAGGTCGTCCAGGAGTGAAGTGTAGCTTTTTCACCAGGTTAGACTCAATAATGTCAAACATAGGCATCGCAAAAACCTATATGAAAAAATTACCCAAAAAAAAAACTATATGAAAAATGGTAAAAAATAAAAAAATAAAAAAAATAAAAAAATAAAATAAAAAAACATGAGGCAAATCAATATTGTTCTCTATGTATGGACATACCTGGTAACTTCCTAGGACATGAATAAACACCATGAAGTTAGCAATGGCAATAATGGAGCGGGGTTTCTCAAGCGAGACAAGAACATCATCCTCCACAAGATCACCGAAAGCCCAGAAGCCAGCGACCGCAACTGAGAAATAACATAAGGCCACAATGGCATATGCGACGATGCATCCTTTCCACATGGGTGTTTTTGATGGTTTTTGTTGGGATGAAGGGATTGTTGCCTGAATCTCTAGAACTACACTATGGCCTGCAAATGCAAATGCTACTGTTCCAAGGCTATTGAATATATCGAACACTATACTTGCAGTGGTATGTGATCGAACTCCGTATCGAACATGTTCATACTGATGATGGCTACCTCTTATTATAGATGCCACAAAAGCTATCATGGAGTAACTGCATTTATATATACATATATACACATATATACACAGTTAATTTCTATTATAATGTAAGTAATGATACAAAGTTCTGACAGTTGGACAAATCTAACTAATTTTTATGAGTTGAAACTGATATCATGGTGACGTTAGGAATATTGATGACATTATCATAACTTGATGTCACCCTCCACTCATATTAATCAGTCAGCGTTGTCCAACTTTCAGAATCTAGATCATGATCCTATTAGTATATATTATGGTAGCTATTTAGGTGGGTACGTACCTGACGGACATGATTGCAGCAAGCAAGGAAAGACCTTTCAAGGAATTAAAATTTGGGGTTTGGGATAGTAGCAATTGTAAGAATGCGAAAAACATGATAAAATAAGTCTGTCTGAGTTGTCCAAGCCATGGACATACCAAATCAGCACACTTCTTCAATGACTTGCCACCAGTGACCATATACACTATGTCTGAGGCCACTTGAACAATGGCTTGCTGTGGCATAACGATCCAATAACCAAGCTTTTCGCCGAAAGCATGCTTTCCTAACTCTGGGTACCGATCAAACCGCTTCCCAGGCACCATTTCGTGCATTTCAACCATTTGCCACAATGTGTAAAAAGTCACCACCCATGAAACTATTATAGCCAGTGTTCCAGGAACCCTACATTAATATGCATATATAGACATATATATCATGAGACCAAAATATATATATATATATATATATATATATATGTACACACACGTATAATTAATCTTGTAAACAATATTTATTGGTTAATATTGAAAAAAAAAAAAAAAAAAAAAAAAAAAAAAAAAAAAAAAAAAACTGAATAAGAAAGAGAGTGTATATATATATATATATATGTATATACCAGCCGATTTGGGACATGGCGAATGGTAAGCCTAGTACACCGGCACCCACCATAGCTGTTACATTGTGGAAAGCAGAGTACCACCATTTTGCTTTCCTAGATGCTGTTATGGGCAACCAACTATTCAAGTCCACCGCTTGCTGGCTACTTCTCCTGCTGGTTGCATTTGATTCATTCTCACTTTCCTGACATACATGCATTATATATTATTGTTATTATAAATTAAAGAAATATAAAATTGTACTTAAGTGGAAGGGTTTCTCATTTACAAACAAATTTAAAAGTTATGGGACCTGTAGAGTAAGAATGGTAATACTAAATACACATACATGTATGTATGTCTAGTTTTCTTTTCTTTTCTTTTTTTCACGTATATATAGCCTGTACGTACATAAATAACGGACTACAATCACAGGATAAATAACATGGACGTACCTCTGTGTTGCGCATTCTTGTTTTCTTCTTCTTCTTCAGCACAGTATTACTTGTTTTCTCACCAATAGAGCTGTTGAGTTATCTGAGAAAAACTAAAGTTGAGTGGTCAGTGTCGAGAAAGCTAAGTGAATTTAACAGAGATTTTTGGGTATCTAGAGATCCAAAGTTGGCGGGGGTTGAATAAGCCATCATAGAATCTCAGCCACAGTACATACTATATTGACACTTAGCACTACGACTGTATGCTGATGGAGAAAATAAAGCAAACCAGATAAGATTAATTATCCAAATATAACTAACAAATACATACATACTACGTATATATAGGAGGGTAAAGTGTACTAAACTCTCCAAAACTTTGACCTTGCAAAAAACCCCAAGTAAAACTCGCTTAAAACTATCATTTTATTGCACTTGAGTATAAAGTGTTAATGAGCCGTTAACGGAAAATGTAAATTACCCTTTAGAGTATCTCTAATGCTAAAAGTCATTTTTATATGTCAAATTTATATTTTGATAAGTACTACAGTGTCAAAATGCTACATTTTAGTAATTCTACCCCAATGGTGCATTTCATGCAAAATGCTATTTTTTGACACAACCACCATTCTTTTTCAACTATCATTCCTACCATTCATACTTGTATCAGTAATATTAATGTTAGGCATATTCCAAGTCTAAGTTGTAAACATTAGAAGGAAACTAAAATTAAATCTAATTAAAAAGAAGCAAAAATCTAAAATATCTAGTCAAAAAAAAAAAAAAAAAAAGAAAAAAAAAAAAAAAAAAAAGAAAAAAAAAACAAATTGATATAAAAGAAAATCAAAAAATCAAAACCCATATCTTTTTATATATTATATATATATATATAAGTATATTATATATATTTGATTATATTATTATTAAAAATATATATATATTTAGGGCAAATCATTTCAGCCTCCCCAATCGCCTCCATCTCTATTCTCGTACTTCACTTTCCTTTTGCTTTTAGATCTTCGTCGTGGTAATCGTACAACTCATCTTGGCTGACTCTCCCCAGTTGCCCCATGCCTCTTAGCTTGAGTGCATATCATAGGTTTTCATAATGAAAGGGTATATAGAATTGACATCATAGTAGTACAATTAACTCTGAAATTGCCCTCTCTCTCTCTCTCTCTGTGCAACTGCAAACTACAAAATCAACAAGAATCAGAAGTTCAACTCTTAAGCTTACCCCCCTCTCTCTCTGCAACTGCTAACTTGTATATATGGGTTTTGATTTAACTTTTTTTCTAAATCAACTAATCAAGTTCTGTAATTCTCTGTAATTTTTTTTCTAAATCAATTAATCCATGGCAGGGGCGGCCTCTGCTCTCTTCCTTCTTCATATCAAAGGCCGTGTTCTGGTATGACGCAACTATCGTTCTGGTTTAATTAAGGTCTGTAATTCTTGTTTTGCAAACTAAATCCTATTTGGTGAAATTTTTTATGATCTTTTTAAAATATATATATATATATATATGCCAAATCCCAACACAGGTACCGCCTCTCTCTCTCTCTCTGAAATAGCAGTAGCTATTTCTTGTGCTACAATTGGCAAAAGTTTTGGCAAAATTAAAAATTGACAGCCCTTTTAGCATTGCATTGGAGAGCCCCTTTTGAAGTCCCCTTACTATATTTTAGAAATGGCAGCCCTTTTAACATTGGATTGGAGATGCTCTTAGCCCTTAAATTAAACGACATCGTTTTAAATTCCATCCCAACTTCAGCTGCTGATGTGTCAAAACAATTTCAATGTCCACTAGAAAATTGACAACACATCAACCTTATCATCATTTTTTTTCTTTTTCGTTTTTTTTTTTTTTTTTTTTTTTCCTACTTCTCTCTTTCCCCTCTTTTTTTGGCTATTTTCTGATGGTGGTCAGAACCACCATCTCCGGTGAACGGAGGAATAGGCAAGTCATTTTTGATAACCAAAATCCCAAACTATTGCAATCTAATGGTTGCATCCATGTTCGTGAGAAACACGATGGCCCAGCGATATTTGCGTTGTCGCATCCACTGCCAGAGCAATCATCATCGGTGACGCCGATGAAGACTCTGAATATTCATCGCCACCGTGATCGAACACCAATAATTTGATGGAATCAAATCCCCATTATAGTAGGGATAATTTACTATACGGAGAACCCATTTGTGCCATCGCAATTTAACAGTCTGATTTGCTGAAATTGTTTAAATTAATATGAAATTAGATCTTTGGAGATCTGAGTTTGTGAGATTTTAGTTCATTTTTTACTCTGTATGTTGGTTTAATCTTCTTCCTTACAGTGTGGTGGTGTTCATGAAGGAACAAGTTCTAGTAAAGTAAAAAAATGTAGTTTTCAAACTGAAGTTCATGTTTCATTTGTCACCTAATTAGCAAAGTTGGAAGTGGAAGAAATTTTTAACCCACCATAAATGTGTGCGAGCAAAACTGATATTTTCATCTTTCTTATATTTCATTAAAGATGGAGGGCTGCGTTGAGGGAAAGAAGAGGAAAAATGACATATTTTGTCAAAACACATACATACATATATGTTGCCCAAGTATAGACTCTAGAGGGGGGGTGAATAGAGTCTTTGGCAAATAATGGCCAATTTTCAGATTTGTAAATTTTACTAAACCCTTCTAACAATTATGCTATAATCAAGATATAAACATAAGCAATTAATAACATAAATATAAAGGAGATAAGGAAAAAGAGTTTGCAAACATTCACACGGTGATTTTAGCGAGGTTCGGAAACTCCTACTCCTCAACTCAAGACCCCTTTTGAGACTTCCCAATCCACTAGTTCACCTCCTTACGGGTGGAGAGCAAACCTTTACATGAAGCAACTCCTTGCTTCACTTTACTAAGAGACAACCTCTTTTAGTCTTCCTTTGGGTCACACCAACCCTTACAAATATGAAGCTAGCTTGTTTCTTCTTCCTTGGGCTACACCAGCCCTTACAAATTGAAGATCAAATTTGTTGCATATAAATATATCTCTCAAAGATTGATATGCAAATATTAACTCACAACTAGAGTAAATGAATAAATTGAAGCTCAATACTCTATGAATGATATGGGATGAGAGAGTATGATATGAATGAAGAACAAAAGCTCTTTGGATGCTATATGATGTTTGTCTATGGTAGCAACACTTAATCCCGAAGTCCCTAACTCTATTTATAGAGTTTTGATAAGCTAATTCAAAAATATAGCTGTTGTGCACGGAGTACAAGGCAAAATAACCGTCTAGATTCAAATCTGCGCAGGTTTGGTCGACCGAAATGAAACACCATTGTGTTTCGGTCATCCGAAATGGTTTAAGGTTGGCCATCATACTTGTTTCGGTAGACCGAAGAATTCTTTCTTCAGTTTCAGTCAACCGAAACTCCTTCCTCCATTGTTCCAAACCATTCTATGAGAATCGGCTCGTCTGATTCATTTGCCTCTTAGTTTTGGTCATCTGAAACACTTAGTAGTGTTCTTTCATTTGCTCAATTCGGTAAACCGAAATGAATGGGTCCTTTGTTTCGGTAGGCCGAAATGGAACTGGTACTTCAGAAGTTGTTCTAACTTAACAGATGAGATAGTTGAGGAAGTACCCCCTATTTGGATTCAATAAAAAATACTAAAAAATTGAAATCCAACTAAATCAAAATGTAGAAATTCGGTTTTAGTACAAATTTGGATTTCCGACAGTTTTTGTAAAAATGAATCCTTATGTAGACCAATGTAGACTTGGTCAAAAATTCTGATAAAATCAGTTTAGGCTAGTTTAAGTATAAAGAGTTATTGCCGGGAAAAATTATTTTGAAATAATCACTATTTCAAAAATCCATTTTTCATACTTAGCCAAAAACATAGTTTTTCATGACGCGCATTCTGGGGTCCTAATGTCCGTTACCAACTCATGGTAATGAAAGCTTCTCATGCCTTAATTGTTGACCAATATGAATTATATGATTGATGTGCATGGTCTTAGGATTTCCAGCATAAATTATGAGTTCTTTCAAAGCTTATGCAAGCTTGAACTAACTCACTTTTTAGCAAAGACTCCATATGTCAATTGTATATGAATGAAGTGCATAGTCCATTGCTAATGGATATAGGAGCATATGAATGATGATATGTTATGTATGGTCATATAGAGATGAGCTTCAAATGGATTTATAAATACTTTGACATTGAATCCTAAACACTCACCATCCTATCTACCCATTTCTTCTTGCTTTGTCCATGATCGTGTAGGCTTTCAGGTAGACTTGCTCTCTTCCTTTCTTTGAGTTGCTCTCTTACTCATTGTAGTCCAAGCTATCTTTGGATGGACTTTGCATTTAGTTCCTTGCAACTTCATGTTCCTTTTGTCTCATTTGCTTTCCATAGATGTGATCTTGAGTAATGGAATACTTGGAATGATCTTTCGTGCTTCATTGAGGTCATCCTTTGAATGTGAATAATCTATAACACTCAATATAAACATTAATCCTTAAACACCATTAATGATTTATTATCATCAAAACCTCTAGATTGTCCTTGGATAGAATCCTTAAGGTCAGCAATCTCCCCCTTTTTGATGATAACAAAACATTGATGTGTTCATAAGTAAGTGGAGTAGCA